ATGGTATTTGTTTTAACCAGGCAAGTTACTGCACTAATTTGACCCCAAGGTGGGCGCATAGTTTGGGCAGACTTTTGATATCGTGTTTTCGGAGCTTAGGTTTTAAATGGATTTGTGAATCACTTTATAAGAAACGTCCATAAAATAGTCTAAATACAGCCAATATCTCTGTATGCATACCTATGTTGGAAGTAAACTGAGATACTTTTAATTGGCGCTACATGTTTTGTGGATTTATATGACTACATTTTAATTCCGCGTGAGTTCTTGGTGTTGAATACAAAATAGAATTCTTTTCATACCAATAGCTTACAAATAGTAAGGTTTGTAATGCTGTGATACGGTTAAGATGCTTTTAACTGCCTAGTAGCACTAACAAACTTCCTTCTCATTCGCTCTTAGCTGTCAATAAGCTTATAATCTTTTCTATTCGACTTGTTATTCGTTATTCGAAGCCTCAGACCTAGTAACTTTTTTTTCATTGGCGCTTGACTTGGAATAAAGAGGCATGCGTTCCTGCGTTTCTGAGACTTCATCTAGTTGTTCATCTTAAGGTGAATAATTATTCGTAACTGATTTTAAACTAGACATAACTGAGTGATTTAAGAGTGGATTTTCTTTTTTCCGGGTTCTTGTTAACAAGTATAAGAATCTAATTATGTTGATTAACCTCACCATGGCGTACTTATGTTCATTTCCATCACATTGTCATGAGTTTACTGATTTACCTAAGTATTCATGCTGCTGTTTTTAAATTATTTGCATTCGTGACTACATACCTCGAATATCTTAATAAATATCATAGCTCCTCCCAAAACTTTAGAAGTTTGAAGGTGCTTCAAATGCATCGTTTCAATGATGATAGCGTAGGAATACTTGGATGCCAATCCACTACTATTTCTAGCAAAGTATGTCTTACTTCAAATGTTATTCATTTGAGGTTTAGCGTCTTTGTTAGGGTTCAGAAATGAAACGTGGGAGCAAACCCTGTCCTTAATAGAAATTTATTCCTATACCAGTACTATTTTAGCGTACTTTCCAGTTTCAAAGCTCATTTGTTGGGTATTTAATGTATAGTGCCTTGCGTAGGTGGACTCCTTAGAGTGTCTAACTTGTTTTCATATGCATTAAAAAATGGAATTCCAACAGACATACATTTATACTTACCTGATGTGCTTACGAAAATGAATATCTCACATAGAGTTGATTCCCTGGGTTTTAAAATGCACGACATGATCACATCTCACTTTAATTATCGTCATGTATGTAATGCGTTTCTACTGGTTCTCTTAAAACAAATCTTCTCTAGCCAAAGTTGTTCTCTTGGTGCATTGGTTTGGATCTTCGCCTATCCAGCACTTTCATTGACCAGTTAATACAAACTGTTTTATTTATCACGCAATACTGCAAGGTATTTGATAGATTCCGTTGCAGTGTAATGGTCAAGAGCTTAAAAATGTCAAGGTTTTCTGAAAATAAATTAAACACAAGTTTGGGGGCCAGTTACACTGCAATCTGTGTTCATATGTGATTCTGGTAAGGTGCATTTGTAACTGTCAAGAATTTTCAGAAATGCAACGTACCCACATAGCCATTTCCAAGACTATGATTCGCCATAAGGATTTCTGAGTACTTGATGTATTCAGGGCGTAAACGCAAATTATCTGCCTGCTCAAAGTGAAGTGTAGTGGCTAAATGCACCAACCACCTTACTTACTTCGTGAATCACATAAATCTCAGAGGTAGTTGGTGGTGAAATCACACCTCGAATGTGCAAGACTCGTTCGGTATTTGCCAACTTGCTTCATCTCTAGCGACCAACTGGTGAGACATACGACTATCTATCAAACGACGAGTATACTGTGCTGCAATCTATCCTCTTCTGTCACACGACTGTGAAACATGGACGTTGAAAGTACGAGATATGAAGAGACTACAAGCTTTTGACCACAGGTGTCTTCGTAGTATCGCTCATGTAAGGTGAAATCATTATTTTACCAATGTGGACATGCAGTGCTAGAAGTTGGATTAGGGCAGAAGAAAGCTCAGGGTGACCAGACTAAGACATGACACCAATCCACAAGTGAAATATCTGACTGTTAGCTGGAACCATGTAGGGAGGTGTAGACTACCTACCTGGCTGGGGTCCCCAAGATGATAGAAATGAAAGGTTGCAGACTCAGTGACATGGCTGAAAATCAGGCACAATAATGACGCAAATATATTCACTCTTTGACGTCTTTCGAAGCTTGGAGATTCCGAATAATCTTCATTTTCAAATTCCCCTTCTTCCCATACGCCTTTATCTACTTTGATATCATTATTTTTCTATCAACATTTTCTTCGAACGGTACTGTGAAGTGTGGCAACTTGGACTGAAGCACTTCTGCAAGAGGCTCTGCGTTGGTTTTGTCTATTTGTCAGCAGACACACCAACTGAACTTAAAAACACATATGAGACAGATTACACTGAAAACGATGTAATTCATTCTCATATATCGGAACTACTTGTCTGGTCATAATAGTTACTGAACTTTAAGAATACAGTTTGGACCAAATGTAAGGAAATTACTGATGTATTTACTAGTCTTCACCAGATGAATTGATAATAGTGAATTTCAGATGCAATTTTATAGCCATATTTCCTTGGTTAAAGCCACTTTTAAGATCGTGAAGCGAAATTGTTCAACCTTGCTGTTCCGCTTAAATCTACCGTAAATAAATAAGCCACGTATGCGTTACTACTGTTTGGGTATTACGAAAACCTCTCGAAATTTCTTCCTATGTATTTTCTAGCCACTGTTTTAGCCCTTTTATAGATCACTTTAGATGAGCACAAAGTGTGTTTAACTGAAAAGCTTCACTATGTTCGGTACCCGAACTAGATAGTGACTGATGCAGCATTCATGTTGATTTTGGGTAGTTTTGCAAAATAGCAGTAGTCCTTCTACCGGAAATGTGTAAATGCTGGTGGACCTCATTATTTATATCTGAAGAAAGGCCATAGGCGTTGACTTATCGTAGCTAACTCCCGGTTTGATGTATTGCAAAGTCAACTAAAATCCAAATTAACTAAGATTCTTCTGAATGATCGTTGATTGTAAAAGGTGTAAATAGATAGACCAGTATTTCATTCTTCACGACTGGAACTTTTACAGTAAGTAGCATGAAATATATTAGTAAACTACTGGCAAACAGGATCAAATATTTATCTTCATTTGGCATCACATGCAAAGTAGTTTGATTGACCCTAATCTGCATCAATTCTAAGCCATCAAGCTATACTCTCTGCAGGTCACTGACACTGACTTCCAGCTTTTAGATGAAAGCTGTTGCGGACGACCCCTTAAGAAGTAGGATTTTCTTTCAGTTTGTTTCGGCACATAAACAGGGTTATCAGTTGGCCTGTGGCGAGTAACCACTTTCTTTTCCAAGTGATATTGTTTGTTAACTTTTCCAACTCACTGAAAACGACGAGTCATAGTAATTACAGAGAAAGACACCTCAATGTACATGAGTTTACCGAATTTTACGGCCGGTAACCATAAGACACCTAGTTTGTATTTGTGGAACTGTGGTTCATTGGTTTAGGCAGCGAAGTTTCAGCCATTTCATCACTGGTTCGAATCCCGCCCTACACACCGAATTATGGGCAGACAGGTAGCGTCATTACTGCTTACACAGCAGGTGTGGCTCATTGTGAATTTGCATGTGGTTGCTGAGTGCATGTCGACTCGATTAGTTTACATTTGGTAACCGCGTAGGGGAATATAGGCCTCTTGGCTTGGTTTCGTGAGGCAAAAAAAACTGATGTCATAACTGCAGGTGGTGGTATGGTTTACAGTTGATCTCAGTGATATGAATGTATTCATACCATACGAGCCATTTTATCACACTTCGTTATTACCTTCAAATTTTTTTTCTTAGTTTGCTAACTTTGTGACCTTTAATCACAGCCTTTTCGTTTCTTCGTCTTCCTTGTTTGTTTCTTGTACCCTTTTATCTCGTTTCTGCTTATGTTTTGTACTAACTTGAGGTATGGTGCCAGTGTCTCCAATTCTTACCCTAATGAATTATTCTTAAAACTAAGTATGAAGAGAGAGGAATGGCACTGTTTATGGCATGCCAGTAGTGTTTAAAACTATCAGCAAACTCCGAGAAAAGAATAATTACCGACACAAAATACTGACCATATTTCTTCGCTGTTGAATAGCATATTGCTCTGCCAGTGCGAAGGGTTACGTGTCTGTTACTGGAGGCCCGTCACTAAAATCTTTTTACAAGAGATAAGTGAGGGTTCTAATCTTAGTTGACAAAAATGTATAGCGTTCATCAGCGTTCTCTGTTGTTTTCAACTTTTTAGCATACTGCTGAAGCTTACCTTCTGCTTCCACCTAGCTATGATTTTTTTCCAGCCTACAGATCCCCGGTGAACTTTGATCACAAATATCACTTAATCACGTTTTTAGTAGATGGCGATAAAATACAGTCTTCTACACTAACCGATCTAAAGAGTTTTCTAAATGCACTCACTTGTGATAAACTCCTAGAAGACAAAACTTTGGTATGCTCACTAAACATTTACCTTGAATTGAGGCTTTAATGCCAGTAATATATGTAACTGCCCATCTAGTGCCCAGTATGCAATGCTACACTGCTATTTTGGTATACGTTACCAGATAAAGTTGTAAACCATCATTTGCTGTGGTTGCCAGAAGTATTATGCCATCACCATTCCTTCCATAAGAACTAAGACCCCCGGGCTTGTTGATATGTTGTCATTTAAAAATTAGTTTACAATCCAGCAGTGAAAACATTTGATATATAGTCATTATAATCTTCAGTATTCTTTCGATTTCATGTAGTTTCTACTATATTAACCTTTCAAATCTTTTTTTAGATGGAAAATAGAAACTTGTTTGATCGAGATGGAGTTATTTAAGAGATTCGACTTGCATTAAATAAAGGCTTTGACAAGTGTGCTATCAGGATTTTGGGTGATGGTAAGTTGATGTATATTAAATAAAATTTCACTAGCTAAAGTTACCTTTTTATATTCTCATAAACAATCAAAAAACGATATCAGGGAGTGTAACAAGCCTAAAAATCTTCTGACGATTCTGTAGTTCAGTCTTCATACTGACTATTTATTTTACCCTCATCGGTAACTCCGAAGTTTGCGTGATCTAATTCACACCCCTTATCAGCTAACTTGATCTCCTTAACGTGAAACGTATTCTCAAGGCTTCGTCATTCTCAGAAGGTCACGACAGGCGGACAGACAAATAAAATCAACATAGAACCTCTTGCAGAAGTGCTTCAGTCCAAGTTGCCACACTTCACAGTACCGTTCGAAGAAAATGTTGATAGAAAAATAATGATATCAAAGTAGATAAAGGCGTATGGGAAGAAGGGGAATTTGAAAATGAAGATTATTCGGAATCTCCAAGCTTCGAAAGACGTCAAAGAGTGAATATATTTGCGTCATTATTGTGCCTGATTTTCAGCCATGTCACTGAGTCTGCAACCTTTCATTTCTATCATCTTGGGGACCCCAGCCAGGTAGGTAGTCTACACCTCCCTACATGGTTCCAGCTAACAGTCAGATATTTCACTTGTGGATTGGTGTCATGTCTTAGTCTGGTCACCCTGAGCTTTCTTCTGCCCTAATCCAACTTCTAGCACTGCATGTCCACATTGGTAAAATAATGATTTCACCTTACATGAGCGATACTACGAAGACACCTGTGGTCAAAAGCTTGTAGTCTCTTCATATCTCGTACTTTCAACGTCCATGTTTCACAGTCGTGTGACAGAAGAGGATAGATTGCAGCACAGTATACTCGTCGTTTGATAGATAGTCGTATGTCTCACCAGTTGGTCGCTAGAGATGAAGCAAGTTGGCAAATACCGAACGAGTCTTGCACATCCGAGTTTTGACGTCATCAGCAGGCAGCATGTTGGGGTTAATGCAACTTCCGAAGTAAATGAAGTCAATGCATTCCGCATTTTTTGCTCCCTTTCCTTAAAGTGAGAGTAGTTGCATACCTCTCCTGGGGCACAATCAATTTTTTAGAGCTGCAAAACGCATGACAGGAGTGTAAATTTCTGCTGTGGACCTTCAATTTCTCTAGAGTATTCAGCTAGCAAGGCGTTGTCGTCTTACTCTAAGTCAACCAAATATACTCTAAGAAGTAGACCAGTCCATGTGAAGCTTGAGTTACACAGGGTTATGTCCATCAGTGCATCTATAACGAAGTGGAACAGAAACAGTGACAACAGGCATCCCTTGCGGATACCATTATTTATCATCATTCCAAATTTTAACTCTATATGTCATGACATGGCTGTGCGAGTTCGAGTAGAAGGCTTTGATTAGCGCCATATACTAGCTGCGCGTTCCTTTCACAGTCAGACATTACCTAAACATCTGACGGCCGATATTCGGATGCTACCTTCAGGTCAAGAAATATGGTGAGTATCAGTCACTGGTAAGTATTCTGGTGGTGCAGAAACTGTCAGAGTGAAGGTTCGATCCATGCACCCTCGTGCCGGTTTGAAACTTACCTGGCTTCCTCGAGTTTGGTGCTATCGAGGTCCAGTCGAGGGTGGAATAATTATGGATCCAAGGATCTTGAACACGATGTCAGTTAAATTGATCTCCTAATGTTTGTCCCAAGAAGACTTATATCCCTTCTAATAAACTGGGATGATCAGTAAAGCAGACCAATTTGAGGAGCCAACCTCTGATTCCCATAAACTACTAAGCACCTTCGTTACTGTCAGCGCTTATTTTCTACCTCCATGTGTGAAAACCCCCAGTGGCAAACCTTCAGTTCCTGCAGCCTTATATTGTTTCAGGTTTCAAGCATCCTTTTCACCTTTGAGATTAGTTGGAAGACAGAGGCCTACGTCCCATTGAGGCTTGTGGTGGATGTTGGGAAACTGAAGAGTTGATGTGGGCCAACTGGAAGTCAAGATGGTTAGGATGAGCCGGAAGTAGTCCTGTTTAAAGGGTCAGAAGATCGGCTTACATCTCTTTAGTGGTGTGAAATTGTAAAACATTTTTGACTGTACGTCCATTCATAAAAGTGTTAGTGACTAGTAATATTTGCAATGTCCCTCTTATAATATACCCATTCCTATTAGGCTGTGCATTTTTATTGACAAATAAAAGTGCGCTGGGAAAGTTTGGCAGTATATAACTGGATTTTGCTTGGTTTCATACAACAGTCTATAGTTTTATGGTTGAATCAATAGGTCTTACAGCTTCGACTAGCTTACTTTAAGCGTTTTTCAGATAGTAGCTGCATATAGGCTAATAATTGTCATGAAACTGTACAGTTTCCTTCAGATTTTTGATGAACAGTTTTCTTTAGTCGGTTGGAGGCAATCAGTAGGAAGCCATGGACCTAGATTGAGTGCTTGTTAGCACTTGCCAGTGAGGCGTATCTCCAACCTCGAGAGAACTGATGTCCGCTATGAGATCCCAACCCGCATCATCCAGTGTTGCAGTCAGCAGCCCGAACAGCTTAGAGATAATGTTACTGACAGCAACACTGGGTGACACGGGTTGGAATCTTGCAGGGGACATCATTTCCCTTGAGGTTGGAGGTACACTTTGTTGACAAGTACTAAGAAGCACTTGATCTAAGTCCATGACTTTCCACCGATAACCTCCAACTGACTAACATCTATCAAAAATGCACCACGATGGTAAGCCCCCTAGCTTGGTGGCTACATTACATGATCGACAGAATACAGTCTGCACCCAGGACTAGACCAAATGAGATTGGTTCCTCTTCAGTGACATACCAATGTGTAGTTCCATTTTTTTGTTAGGAATAGAAATGAGTTGTGATTCTTTTAAGTAGGGATTAATAGATGATGGTGTTTCATTCACCAACCACGATTATTATTATTATTATTAGTCCCTTGGGTTCCTAATGGAACATAGGGCTTCAGTAGCACGTCTCCATTCTACTCTGTTCTCTGAGATCTTTTGAACCTGGTTCCTCGACAGCCCAGAAGCTCCCATTTCCTCCTCACACGATCTCCTCCGTGTCACCCTCGGACGTCCAACTCGTCGCTTCCCATGGGGATTCCACTCGAGCAACTGGCCTGACACGTGATGTCCCCAGTCGGCCTTCTCAGTGCATGTCCAATCCATCTCCATTTCCTTCTGCATATTCGTTGGGTGATAGGTTCTTGGTTGGTTCTTTCCCAGAGCTCCTTGTTGCTTATTCTGACTATTCTGGCCATCTGATCTTCAGTATCGAGTCAGCGTAAGCAGTTGTTGATGAATGTCTGTAGTTTATTGGAAATGCCTTTCATATCGCGCCAAGTCTGAACCATACAGAAGCACTGACTCGACGTTGGTGTTGAAAATCCAGATCTTGTTCCACATGCTGAGTGCAGATCTCCACACTGGTTTCAGGCTGATGAACGCCTGTCTTGCTTTTCCGATTCTGACTTTGACATCCTCGTCTGTGCCGCCTGTATTTTAAACAGTGCTTCCTAGGTAGGTGAAGGAGGTTACTTCCTTTAAGTTTCTCCCGTTGATGGTGACTGGAGTTTGTTGTTGTTGGTGCGGTATCTTCATCACCTCTGTCTTCTCTATATTCACTTGAAGTCCCGTCTTCTCTGCATCGCCTCTTCTGCCAACTTGTTAGTTTTCGCCAGTAGATCTTCAAGTTTATGTGACATTAGGCACAAGTCATCGGCGAAATCCAAGTCTTCTAGGTTCTTTTCCGCAGTCCAGCCAGTGTATCCCCCTCTTCTCGCTCCCCACTGTTTGCTGCATGATCCAGTCCACCACAATCAGGAATATCATGGGGGATAGTAGACAGCCTTGTTTCACTCCTGTCTTCACTTCACTGCAAAGGCATCACTTAGCTTCCCATTGTGAATTACTTGGCATGTGGCATCTTCATATAGTTGTTGAATGAGGCGGATAAAGGTTAGCGGTACTCCGTAGTAATGAAGCAGTTTCCAAATTACCTCTCGGTCGGCGCTGTCAAAGGCCTTCTCAAAGTCAATAAAGTTGAGGTAGAGAGCTGATTGCCATTCTATGCTCTGTTCTATGATGATGTGAAGCGTTACAGTTTGGTCCGCATATGATTTGTACTTCCTGAATCCAGCCAGCCTGCCTGTTCCGGTCGTAGTTTTGAATCCAGTGCATCCTTTAGCCTCTCCAGGATGATGCGGCTTAATATTTAGCTTGCACTGGGTGGACAGAAGAGTGATTCCCCGCCAGTTCTTGCAAACACTGAGGTCTCCCTTCTTCGGCAGTTTGACAAGGTAACCCTTCTTCCAATCAATGGGCAGGTACCTTCTCTTCCTTCCACACCTTCTGCAATAGTGGTGTGGTGTGAGCATGTCCACTGTTGTCTCTGCGTCTGTTCTCAGTGCTTCTGGTGGGATCCCATCTGGTCCTGCTGCTTTCCTATATTTCAACATTTTTATGGCGTTCAGGACTTCCATTTTTGTTGGAGGATTTATGTTCACTTGTAGTTCAGCGGCTGGGTTGCTGGTGGTATTTCTGGACGAAGTGCAGGTGGTGGTCGATTCAAGAGCTTCTTGAAGTGGTCGGCCCATTGTTTCCTTTGTTTCTCTTCTTTCGTAATTAAATTTCCTTCTTCATCTTTTATTGGCTTCTTCTGCGTTGATCTCTTCCCAGATAGCAACCTGGTTATTTGATACAATGTCGTTAGGTCTCTCTTACCTGCAGCCTGTTCTGCTTCACTTGCCAGTGTTTCGTAGAAGTGTCTTTTGTCTTTGCGTGCACTCTTCTTCACTTCTTTGTCCAGTGTACTGTTTTATACATTGTGCTCAGTTCCTCTTGTCGTTGAGCATCCTTGCACTGGTTTATCTTCTGCTTCACCATCCTCCTCTCCCTGCTCTATCAGCTTCCAGGTATCCGTCGAGATCCATTCCTTATCTTCTTTCTTCTTCCTTCCTAATACGGTTATGTAGGTTTCTTTCCACATCTCTTTCAAAGAGTTCCAGTGTTCTTCCACACAGGTTTCTTCAAGGATGCTGCTCGATATCTCCCATTTTGTCTTGATGACTAACGTGAAGATTTCCTTTGTAGTTTCATCCTTCAGTTTCCGAGTGTTGTACTTGAGTTGAGGTCTATCACCAGCTTCCTTGAAGGCTTTTAACTTGATTTGGAAGGTTCCTTGCACTAGATAGTGAGTGATGTGAACCTACATCTGCTCCTCTTCTTGACCTTGTGTCAAGTAGACTGCGTCTCCATTTTCTTGAGATTGAGATAAAGTCGATTTGATTTTTAGTGTGTCCATCTGGTGAAATCCATGTCGTTTTGTGGATATCCTTGTGCTTGAGCACAGTGCCTGACTCCAATCACCAAATCGTTGAATGCACAGAATTCTGCAAACAATTCTCCATTCTCGTTCATCACCTCACCGAGCGCTTCTCGACCCATGGTTAGTTCTCTTCCTGTGTTGTCCCCTCCCAGTTTGGCATTCATGTCGCTCATTAGAATTTTGATATCGCCAACTGAGGTCTTGTCCAGTGTTGGTTGCAGTTGTCTGTAGAATTCCTCCTTTTTCTCTTGCTCTGCATTATTTGTAGGTGCATAGTATTAGCATTGTATGATTGTGACCTTCCTTCCTTTTGAGTTGAATTTTGCTGCCATGATCCTGTAGGAGATTGGTTCTCACTGCATGAGAGCCTGCGATGCTCTTTGGGACATCATGATAGCCACTCCCTCAGTGTGCTCGTGGTTGTCGTCTGGGTGACAATACCGGAGTAGATTATTGATTCTCCAGTTGACAGTTTGGAGAGTCCACTCCCATTCCATCTGCTTTCGCAAATTCCAATCACTTCAATGTGATACCTTCTCATCTCTTTTGCAATCTGGGCTGCCTTACTGGGTTCAAACATAGTGCGGACATTCCATGTCCCCACGTTTGCTTTCGCTTTCATCGAGAGAAGATACATCGGCCAATTGGCCTCCCGAAGGCTTTCACCAACTGGCGTCATTTCGCCTCTCCGATTCCAGCGAGGAATAATTTTGTTTTTATTTTTTATATTTTGTCTGTGCTTTGAAGTTTCTTTAGCGGTTAGATTTGTTTTACGGGGTAGGGTTGGTAGTGCTATGCCCAACCTTCCCTCTTTACCCGGGCTTAGGACCGGCTAGTAACTAGTAAACTAGTTAACCAGGCGAGGTTCACCAACCACGATGGAAACTATTAAATAGTAGTCATGTATAGGTCAAGTGCAAAATGATACTTCAGATGTATTGAGCTTATATGTTTAGTCTGACCATAGGAAGCACTGATCACCTATTTCTCTTGCGTTAACACTGATAGGTTGATAGCAGATAAGATCTGAAGAAATAAATAATAATGAATATACTGCTGTCCGCCAAATTCCCGAAGACTTGATATTGTTGAAGTATGCGGTTGCTTATCGAATTCAGCGTACACTGAAATGCTATCTTTCGTTCCACCACAGGTTTGGAGCCTAATTACCGAACGCTGACAACAGTAGGTGGGGTTTTAGTGTTTGACTGATGAATACTGATGATTCTGAAGAAGGATCGCTAGTAATGGAAATTAGGTGTTGCATTTGTGAGCCTTTATCAACCACTGTTGATGTGTACATTCATCATATTTAACTACCAACTATCTCCATGATTAGAGCAAAGTAGAGTGAGGGAAGGTGCAGAAGAGCCAGAGTGAAATGTAATATCAGTCAACGTTGTTAACGGGAGTAAGTATTCTTGAAGTACCTGAGACACGAACATGCTTAACATTGGTGAGCGGACCAACTGACGTTGTTATTATTATTTATTTATTTAGAACACAAAATTGGTAAACCATGGGCACAAAGAGATGCGCCACAATAAAATAACTAAGCCACATTAAGAAAGTGGGAAAAGGAACAGAGAATGGAAACCATAACATAAATGGTTTATTAACGTCATAGTTTCCATTCTTAATGTTGATTCATAAATCTTATATGCGGTGTGATACTGCCCGGGCACTCCTACCAAAGCATGTGGTTATCTAGATCGTGAAGTCTATGTTCATCGCTGGGTCGGAACTAGATTTTTCCTATCTCGCCTAGGTGTGCTTTCCGTGATCATTATTCCACTGATACCACTAAATGTTCGCTTTCTTCCTGTCACTTATGTGAAAATCCCCTGCCATATGAAGGCAGTGAGCTAGGAATAACTGACAGAGGCAAAAAACAGACGACCATATGAGAGCATTTCGCGAAGATGACCTGGAGCTTGCTGCCCTCGGCCATGGCGAGGCGTTAAGGAGTGGAATAAACTACTGTCTTGAACTCATTCATGGAAGTAGTTTTTGAAATGGTTGTTTGTCAAGCAAATTGTCCTTTCGAATGGAAATAACATTTTGGGGATTAAAGATCGGAAATTGGAATGAAGAGGATTTCGTTATCTTATTCTGGTCTTGGCGTCAACCAGAGACAGACAGATAAAATCAACGTGGGGCCTTACAAAGAAGTACGTTGATTCAACTTGCCACACTTCACAGCACCATTCAAATAACAAGGGTATAGCAAAGGATTGATATCAAAGTAAACAAAACTGTGTGAGAGAATAAACAATTTGAAGATGAAGACTACTTCAAATATTCAAGCTTCAGAAGTCAAAGAGTGAATACATACATCTACACCACTGTGACCACCTTTCAGCCAATGTCACCAAGACTTCTCAACCACTGATTCCTATCATCTCAGGGATCCCAGTCAGGTAGTCTACATCTACATCTCCCAACACGCTTCATATCAACAATCAGACACTTCATCAACTGGTGTCACGTCTTCGTCTGGTTATCCTGAAGCCTCTTCCAACCTAGTCGAATTCCTCCTAGAATAGGATATCGAGGTAGGTGGTGACTCAGTATATGCAACTCATGTCCAAGCCGTCAAATCCGACTGAAATTCACAACCTCATCAATCGACTTACTTGCCTGTCTTGCATACTACCCTTCACCTGATCTCAACATTGGTCATATGGTGATTCCACCAAACGCAAGCAGTGTTACGAAGACACTTGTGATCGACATCCTGCAATCGCTTCATGTTATTTACTTATAATGACGATGTTTCAGAGTCATACAACAGGACAGAGGAGGCTGCAGCTCAGTATATTCACCCTTTGATAGATAGTTGGATGTCTCGTCAATTAGCGCTGCAGGTATTCGAGCTGAGATTCCTTCAGCAACCGGGCCGTTCGGGATGATGCAACTCCCCAAGTAAGTGAGGTGGTCGACATACTCCATCACTTCACTCCCTGTCATTAAACTGGGAGAAGTTGGAGATCAACCCTGGAGCATTATCTTACATTTGACAGGTGCGAAACTCATGCCAAGCGTATTCAAGTTCCTACTCAGCGCGTTTAGAAGACCCTGCAATTTGCCAACATTTCCACCTAACAAGAGAATATCATATGCATACTCCAGATCAACCAGATGGCCTCCAGGAAGTGAAGTTAGAGGCACATAAAAATTATGTTGATTAGTACGTCTATAAAAAAGTTGTATAGGTACAGTGACAGTGGGCATCTCTGATAGACACCGCTAGTTGTCGTCAATTCTGATGACAACTCTTCATAAGCACTTACATGGCTATGTGAGTCCAAGTAAAGAGCTTTGATAAGGATTATGTACCTTCATAGTCAGACACTGCAACAGCACCTCTCGGTCGATATGGTCAAATGCCACCTTCATGTCAAGAAATATGGTCTGTCGATCCCCGGTTAGTATACCTGTGTTCTAGAATCTGTAAACAGGGGGAGAATGTGATCGATGTACCGTTGTCGAGGTCTAAGATCTGCCTCGTTTTCTCAAGTTTTCTGTCCTTGAGCTCGTAAGATCCTGGACACAACATTAGTTAAACTAACTACCCTATAGTTGTGTCACGAAGACTTCTCTCTCTTCTTGTAGACTGGGATGATGAGAGAAGTAGACCAGTCTGGCAGAACTATCTTTGGTTCGCATACACTACCTAGTACCCCCGTCACTTTTCACTAATAATTTCTCACCTTCATTCCTGAAAACTTTGGGTGGCAAACTATGAGGTCCCGCTGTTTCGCATCGTTCTAGGTTCGATACAGTCTTCTCAACTTCGAGAAGACTTAGTGAACGGACATCTATGTCAACCAGTTGAAGTGTATTTCAAAGTGTTCTGCCCACCCTTGTAGTCGCCTGTTCTAGGATATTATCGGCATCCAATCCTTTTCAATGATGACCAGTGTCCTTAATAAGCTGAAATAGTTGCCGAGTGTTATCCAACACTGATGCTTTCTGCATTTCACTCGCTTTTGCCATTGAGACAACTCTTGGTGAATTTACGCTTAGATTGTTTTCACTATTCATCGTAGTCAGAGCCATCTGGAATAAATCTTTTCACATCGATAAATATCTTCTTTGTAATAAACTGAAATACACTCAACAACCTTGTACATATTTTTGGAGTAGATAGTTAAGAACACCTGTTGTTTTCGGGTTAATGATGGTATCTAACTGCATCTGTCTTTGGCCACCATGGCTCTATATCTAAGCTTGAGGTTACGAAGGTTGCACAATGAGTTCAGGTTTTTGGAAATCGTTACTTTGACGCAACAACCAACAGGTTCATCTAAGTCCGAATGTTGAAGTACTTTATTCTTGTGTTGTTACTTAATTCTTTTTTCTTTAAAGATAATTATCTCATTTATATGTATTTATATTTAATTGAAGAATACATATTTCTTTCTTTTTTATACAGGACTTGGTAATGAAGCTGAATATCATACTGATAATAGTTTTTCTAAAACTATTTCTAATTCATTTAACATCTACTGAACCAGTAATATATGGTATACTTCCAGATAGTTATAATTCTATAACAGATCATATTATTGTACTTCAATCTAATAAAGCTATTCATTTAAGTATTTTTGGTTTAAATATGGATTATATTAGTCATATTGCATTTGCTTCAATAAAAAAATTGCCTAATTCATCATGTGAACATGAACGAGTTACTAGTTCATTTAATGTTATACCAGAAAATTCTTTTATTACTACAAGTGTAATCAGTTTACGAGAATTATCTAATAATGAAATTGCTTTTTTTTATGTATACGTGTTACTTCTATTCAATTATCTGAAATTAATTCAATAGAATATAATTTACAAAATTATACAAATATTGATGGTAAATGGATATTTCCTAATGGAATTGGATCAGATTATAGATTATCATTTCGAACAACAAGTGCTCTTATGCCATTCTGGTTACAAATCATTTTAATTATATTATTATTTTTTCTTTCTGGATTATTTAGTGGTCTTAATCTTGGTTTAATGTCTCTTGATAAAACAGAATTAAAGATTATTGAAAGTGCTGGTTCATATACAGAGAAAAGTTATGCTAAAGCTATTCGACCTGTTCGTGAAAAAGGAAATCTTTTATTATGTACATTATTGTTAGGTAATGTTCTTGTAAATACATCATTAACAATTTTAATGGATGATTTAACTGGAAGTGGTTTATTTGCTGTTATTGCATCAACAATTGGAATTACTATATTTGGAGAGATTATGCCACAGGCTGTATGCTCTAGACATGGTTTAGCTATTGGAGCAAAAACACTTTGGTTAACTAAAATGTTTATGTTATTCACATTCCCGATTGCATTTCCTATAAGTTTTGTATTGGATAAAATACTTGGTGAAGAAATTGGTCAAGTATATAGTAGAGAAAAGCTTGGAGTACTTATACGTGAACAAGTGAGTCAATCATTCTTAACATTTTACTATATTCTCAAGTTTGAAATTTTTATCAATCTACTTAATTCTAAGCAACCAGATGATATTACTAGAATAATATAAGCCTTTCAACTCTTACAAAAGTTTAAAAGGTTGTCAATAACGTGAAAACAGACACAGTAACCAGCTATGATGGTCTGATAGCAGAGGTATCGAAGATTGCCTACTCTTGGTTTACTACTTAGATTAACTGAGGTATTAACTAGTGTATAAGAATCATGTATGATCCCTTCTGACTGATCCTAACCACTCTTTATCTCAATCTTCTAGAAACGAGAAAATTCTATGATTCTATGATCATGCAGTGCTTAATTGGAGCTTAGGAATCGTAAACGTTGAAAAAAGCAAGCAGATTTCAGAACTGGCTGTAAGTGTACCGGTTAGATCTATTGAAACACAGGCGTACTTACTCACACTCAAGATCAACTACACTTCTTAACTTGAGGATGACGTTCAACTCTATTGATGGTAAGGTCTTATATCAGTGTTTCTCATTGAAATGGCTACCTGGTGAATAAAATACCCTATTGAAAGCTTTATACACGAATACCTATGGTGTTATTGAATAATTTCTAAATATGGTACTTACTTAAATTATATTTCCTAACACTTTGACTTACTCTGAAATTAAGTATAGTTTTGTGTTAAGCTTTCATTCATTTGGTGTATAAAACCTGAGGTTACTATCCATATACTTATGCTGAAGGGGTGTGTAGTGGGCTCGACTCTGCAAGCCAATGGTCTGAAACTATATTTCAGAACTATGCAGTATTGCCTCATTGATATGAACAATTGGCTTTCACATAATCGGTCTCACCTTTGAATCCTATTCAGCCTATTTTTATATGGGCGACCAAGTAGTATCATATATATTTATCACTACGTATAGTAATGATGGGCAGTGGAATCCAGGATGCACATTTCGCCCTATTTGGGACTCGTTAGCTGGATGTACCTGCCTCCGAGTGAGTGATGTTGTTCCCACTGGAACTCGGACTCGGGAGCGATCGCTTCAAATGCCAGAGCGTTATCCACTACACCACCGAGCCACGATAGCCACTTCTTGTGCGGTGGGTATAGGTTTAGTGTTATTGCTTGTATTACACCGTCGTTGATTGGACCGGATTGATCCAGCTGACGAGTCCCAGATAGGACGAAATGCGTATCCTGGATTCCACTGCTAGCCACTACCCATTATTACTATACACATTTAAAAGACAGGCGATATCGAGCCATCCGCATAGGAGCCCATATGCCAACAGAGACTGATCAATTTGGTCCAATTAACGACGGTGTATATTTATTACTACATTCGTATTACTGTACCACAATCTTTTACTGTACTATTTAGACTAGAATTATTAACTAATGTAACTGGAAGGATAGTAAAGTTACAGTAAAAAATAGAAGACAATAATAATAACATATCAACAACAAAATGATTAATTGATTGAAGAATACTGAGTCTAGTTAATTATCAAGTTACTAAGGTCATATTATAGTGTTATTTTTTCGTATGGCAAGTAATGAAGTGAGCTAGGACACAGCAGATTGTTACAATTAAACCATCTCGCTCAGGGAATGGAATATCAACAAGACGGTTAATTATCTCAAATGTTCATCCGACGGTAATATGTTATACATCAATAATTTCTACTTTTTTCAGCAGTGTTTAATATTTAAAGCCTTTAGCATGAATAGCACTCAGATTTCCCATGGATCATATTTCAGCCAATTCGTCAAATTTTGTATGGTTACATTACGTTAAGTAGAATGTTAACCTTGTTCAAACATCTTAGTGGATATCAGTATTTCTTATGAATTTTTCCTTTTACTTCTGAAGAATCCTATAAGGACATACGATAAAAAGCAAACAACCGTCAAGTATCGTCGGTACAGAAAGTTAGATTCTACAACTGTAGTACAATCAATCTTATTTTGATAAGGTTCGGTGTTATTGTAGCTTCTAATATGTGAGAATAAATCTCATCTGCCACGCCCAGACAGATATACAAGACTATTATTATTATTATCATTATTATTTGTCCTTTGGGTTCCAAGTGGAACGTAGGGCTTTAGTAGCACGTCTCCATTCCACTCTCTTCTCTGAAGTCTTTTTAACCTGGCTCCACCACTGCCCATAAGCTTTCATTTCTTCCTCACACGATCTCCTCCATGTCACCCTCGGACGCTCAACTCGTCGTTTCCCCTTTGAGTTCCACTCGAGGGCCTGGCACGTGATGTACCCAAGTGGTCTTCTTAATGTATACCCGATCCATCTCCACTTTCCATTTTTATTGATTTGTCAGATTTATCTCACAGTGTAACAGTATTGTTTACTGGATTACATTTCGGATATAATTCATTGTCCATAGTCATATCAAGATAACTACATAACTTTGACATATCCTTTATATAGTCCTAATTTCCTCGTCTATTTGTGAGATGGGCAGTAGGATTTTCCACATATCCAGAACAGGGACCCAGTCATTCCTGTTTCTGCATGTATTAGGTGTTGATTCGATAAACAAAGATTCAGTTATCAATCTCTCCCTCCACCCTGTTGTGTTAGTTTAAAGAATTTTCACCCTGATCCATCCTAGTGTGTGGTTGTGTGTAATCACATGCATAGCTATAGCTGAGCTATTTTCTAAATTCCTCACCTCACTAGGATCTACCAATTTTAACCTAGCTAGGTTTTTGTGTTCGGATACCCTAATCGAAGCTGGTCGACTACTTTGACCTATGTATTTGACCTCACAATAATTGCAACGGTTTTGGTAAACTACTAAGTTATTCTGCTTAATTGGGTCAATAGAATCTTGTAACCTACAAAGCCTATTTTGAAGTGAGTTTGTAGGTATAAATGCCACTCTAATCCCAACCTTATTGAGAATTCTACGTAGTGTTTCTGAGGTGCCTTCTTTGTATGGTAATACTGTAGGAGTGGTTGACCAGGGTCAATTAGGCTATCTGAACACAAAAACCCAACTAGGCCAAAATTGGTAAATCAGCTATAGCTATGCATGTGATTACACACAACCACACACTAGGATAGATCAGGGTGAAAATCCTTAAAACTAACACAATAGGGTGGAGAAAGAGATTGATAACTGAATCTTTGTTTATCGAATCAACACCTAATACATGCAGAAACAGGAATGACTGGGTCCCTGTTCTGGATATGTGGAAAATCCTACTGCCCATCTCACAAATAGACGAGGAAATTAGGACTATATAAAGGATATGTCAAAGTTATGTAGTTATCTTGATATGACTATGGACAATGAATTATATCCGAAATGTAATCCAGTAAACAATACTTACTGTTACACTGTGATAAATCTAATAAATCAATAAAAATGGAATTACACTGTGCCTTAGTACACAAGTTTTACTCTTATATTAACCATCTCCACTTTCTAATGCATATTTGTTGGGCGATAGGTTCTTGGTTGGTTCGTTGCCAGCAAGCCAGAGTTCCTCCTTGCTTATTCTTATTATTCTGGCCATCTGGTCTGATCTTCAGTATTGAGCAAGCGTAAGCGGCAGCTATTGATGCTGTATGTCTGTAGTTTGTTGGAAATGCTTTTCGTGACACGCCAAGTCTCTGAACCATATACAAGCATTGACTTGACATTAGTGTTGAAAAACCGGATCTTGTTCTTTATATTGAGTGAAGCTTAGTACAGTAGATGTCTACACTGATTTCAGATTAATGAATATTTGTTTTGCTGTCTTTCCGATCCTGTCGTCGACATCCTCCCTCGTATGTGCCTGTACCGCCTGTAGTTGAAACGGTGGGTGAAAGAGACTACTTCCTTTGGATTCCTCCCGTTGATGGTGCTTGTTGTTGTTGTTGATTGGGTATCTTCATCACCTCTGTCCTGTCTACGTTCACCTGAAGTCCCGTCTTCGCTGTCCTACCTCTTCTGTCAACTTGTTGGTTTTTGTCTGTAGATCTTCGAGCTTGTGCGACATTAGACATAAATCACCATGGGAGAAATCCAAATCTCCTTCTAGGATCTTTTCATAGGTCGAGCAGCGTATGCCCATTTTCTCGCTCCTCACAGTTTGTAGCGTAATCCAGTCCAGTCCAGTCGACCACAATCAGGAAGATCATACGTGACAGTAAGTGGCAGCCTTGTCTTACTCCTGTATTCACTTGAAAGGCGTCACTGAGCTTTCCATTGTGGACCACTTAGCATGTAGCATCACATAGCATATAGCTGTTGAATGAGGTTGATAAAGGTTTGTGGCACTAAAACCGTAGTGTTGAAGCAGTTTCCAAACTATTACTTCTCGGTCGACGCTATCGAAGGCCTTTTCAAAGTCGTTGAAGTTGAGGTTTGACTGCCATTCTATGCTCTGTTCTATGATGATGCGTACTGTAGTGTTGCAGTTTGATCCGCACATGATTTGTTTTTCCTGCAGCCAGCCTGTTCCGTTCGTAATTTTTAAATGCAGAGCATCCTTTAGTCTCTCCAGGATGATGCGGCTTAATAGTTTGCTTGCTTTGGATGGACAGGGTCGGGAGCATGATTCCACGCCAAGATACACAAAAAGAACTTGAATATTTTTCTCTTCTTAAGAGGGACTTCAGCCACAATGTATTTTTTTCAAAAAGTATGGACGTGGATGAAGAGGATTAGTTCAATTTTCATACAGTTGTAAATTATGTTACATAGACTGGAAAGCTAACGAATCTCTACATGTATAACGTCATGAAGAACAAGATTACTACCTGCTTCATTATTGAGAAATAAATCTGAAGTAAGAGTTTCTTCTCAGGAAAAAATTGTATCCGTATTATTGTTTTAGTGTTTTAATGTGTGGCGTTCAGGGTGTAACTTGTTAACTAGTTTAAGTTGTTGTTGCTCAGAAGCCCTGTGCACGTCCGTACAGTAGGTAGAGTAAGCTACATCTATTGTGTGAGAGCGAGTGATACTACCTGGATTCCC